GGGTCTATCTTACCTTTCTATTCTTCCCCTCCCACCCTCATTGTATCCGCCTTAATGCTTCAGTCGCTCGCCTGCCCACTAGGACATGGGCTGACCTTTTTTTATAAAACCTTTCAGCTCGAAATTGTGGCACCTCTTAGTAATTTTCGCACCTTTTGTCGATGGGCTTATCTTTGGTTTCCGATCCCGGTTGAAAATAATGTTTTTCATATGTGTTTCCTGAGTCATATCCACTGGCCATAGATGTAATATCTTTTTACAATGGAGTAATATGAACATCTCTTCACAGTATTTACTGAAGGTTTGGCTATCTTTAAAAAAGATAAAAAAACTTAGGACATTTTCAGTTTCCTATGAGATTACTGATAACACCATCGTAAAACTATAAGTCATATTATATAAAAGAGATATTATATGTTTAAATCCTTACATTTGCAGATATTAGTTTAAAGTGATGTGTTTATCCTTTAAATATTTTAGACACACTAGCAGCATTGATCTACAGTTGTAATATAAATGTCCTTTGATCCAGAATATTAAGAACTATTAATAAAAAAAATAAAAAAAACATGTGTCCAGTCTGTGATGCAATAAAATCATTTCCGTTCATTCACAAAATAAATTGATATTTATTCCAGTATGTTGTTTTTTTTTCAGCTGTTATTACAGACGACTGGCATTTGTGTGCAGATGCATTTGCTTTGGCTGCGTAATACCATCCCCTCGCTTTCTGTCCCTTATCTTCAAAGCCTATAAAACCTTTGATAAAAACCAAAGGGTATTGGCTAAAAGCTTTTTTTAAAACTGGGAACAGGTAATTTCTTCCAGGGAACAGGTATTGGCCTAGCCGGAGTCCAACTGTAGGATTTCTTATTATGTACAGCAAGTACACTCATACAACAAGACAATATAAAGTATCTTAAACCAAACAAATTCAACACAAGATTTCCACCAAGTTAAAAATGACATTATTGATTTTCTTCAGCTAAGAGAAAAAATGGGTCCATTTTTTTACCAACGGCTGGAACTGCCAAATCTGTTCATATTTTCTTTTCCATTACCAGTCTTTAAACACAGCCACAGACAGGAAGTCAACGAAACAGGAACACAGTACGCTGTGTTCCTGTTTCGTTGACTTCCTGTCTGTCTTTTTCTGCTGATTTCTCTAACGCTCTCCAATATATATATAAAAATGAATATTCAAAAGGAATTCCACTGTGTTTTGTGACAGATGAAACTGAGTTATTGTAAACGGCCAACGTTAAATTGAATGGACTTCTTTCTGTTGATTGATGTGAACGCACATTGATCCACCTTAGCAACAGTTAGTTCTCCTTAGCAGCGGTCTGTTAGTGAAAATTCACAACCTCTAGATTGTTCAAATCAGAATCGAGTATTCAACTAAGTTGTGTAATGAGCAGACAAAAAGCAGCCAAATGACAAAACCTATAAACACCATTCTGTTTCTGTTACATGGATGCATTAAAGGAATAAAATGATCTCAAAATGATTATTTGTATATCAGTTACTCACCCTGTGTTACCTCAAACTCTTTCGCTGCATAAACAGAGAAAAGTCTTGATGAATTGAAGGAAATCGGTACAACGTATTACAACAGCAAAACTGCATACATGAAAAAAATCCTTTTACAAGCTATCCAAGTCTCATTTATCTGGTTGTACAGTATGCTAATTTCTCTATTTTTGTTCAAATCGTACTTTGAAAACCGCTCCTCCACCATTTCACGCTTTATATGGTGCACTCGGTTTCCGGGCAAATTGTTCTTCTCTGCAAGCTTGAGCTAAAAGAGGCATGTAACAAAAACACTGTTTCCTAATGAATCCAAGGTAAGACCAGGTGAATAATTGATCTACAAATGTTCATTTTATACATTTCTTTAATAATATTGAACCATGAGAGCGTTTCCGCTGTGTCCGGGTCATTCACAAGCTTTAATAGAAAGCTCAGTTCTTAGAGAACAGAGCTTTCTATTAAAGCTGAGCTTACCTTTCATGTGTTTTTTTGTTGTTTGTGTCTTTCTATAATGGAATACCATATCTCTGTTCAGCAGGTAACACAGGAATTAGCAGGAATTTAGATTCTGGATTAAAGAGGTTATTCCCATGCTTTGTTTTGCTGCCTGCACTGAAATCCTCCTCATTCAAAGGAGGCTTTGTGAAGAAATTAAATAGAAAAGGAAATTGTTACTGTTGCTCGGATGAACTTTTGATAGAGGTTTTGTTTCTTCAGTTTGTAGGGCAGGACCTGAACCCTCGGTTGTGCACAGAAAGCAGGTCAGACACTGCTGAAAAGAATCTGATAAAAGCCTCATGATGGATTTTCCCTTTTAAGAATATGACCATATTATCATAATATCAGAGGGAATGGTTTCATGTTCAAAAACTCCGACCAGGCATAGGTAGCGGAATATATTTAAGTCATTCAAAAGCCATACTTAATCACTGACATTGAAATGTCAAAATAATTGTACCTTTGAGATGTGTTAGAGACGGAAATTGAGTTTTATTTTTGTGTCTAATGTAATTCCTAATACATTTAGCAGACTTACAGTTACCAAATATATATATCAAACAACAACAATAGAGGATACATCCACTTCCAGCATCTATGAATACGTGCTGAGATGTATGTCATAGCTGTAAGATATTGAAATGAATATAATGAAGATATAGATTTTCAGAAAGTATGAAAGGTTTTCCATAAAAGTGTATATTTGTGTCAAGTCATTAAGCCAGATTGTTTTTATTGGTGCCTATTTATTTCAAATTCAAGACTTCTTTTTGGATAAAAACTATATGTAGTATTACATGTTTTAAAGGGACTTGCAAAGTAAGAATATTGGTGGTAGTTGTATGTTTCAGGCTACTTTGTGTAAAGCTTTTCCCCGATCATTGCATCTTTTAATGTATGAGATTTCAGACATCTATTTACAGGGTCTCGGTGAAGGATCCGTGGGTAGTGGGCCACCAACAGATGGCAACACTTTGAGAAGATTTTCATTCCTTTCTGTATTTTCAATGTTATCTTGAAAATATGAAAATAGTGTTAGCTGTAGGATTTTTAAGAGTTACTGACAAAATATATGTTAACCTTCAAATAAGAAACGTGTGGTCAGTAAAGGTTTCGTGTTAGGTGCAACACAATATGACACGGACCACATGAAAGATAGAACTAGATTTGTGTCTAATGACTTGGCCCAAGATCCCCTCTCATTTACACTGGCATACGTTTTTTATAGAAATAACTTTTAACCACGTCTTGAACTGATGACTACTTTCAGTATTGATAAATAACCATGTATTTGTTCAATTTGCAAGTAGTCTCCAGTGGCCATGAAGTTTCCTAACAATGGCCTTTTTTCAGCAGTCCAAAACACAAAGTTAGGGTTTGGGTTGACCAATGAATTAAGGGTTAACGGACAACCTCCTTTAGTTTCCCTTTTTAAAGAAATATGAATGCTGTTTCGAGGTCTGCAGATTTTTCATCTGTATTTTATTAATGCTCTTACAGTATGAGCACAAATTCAGTTAAATGTTATGGTGTGGTGGCAGAGATTGATAGGTTTCAAAAGTATGGTCTTATAATCCTGGCACAACACAAAGTATAATGGTAATACTCCCTATGGCAGCTGTGTGCCATGATGGCTGCCATTTTGAAAGCAGCTGATATGCGAGAAGAATCTCTCAGTGCGCAGAGGAGAAACTAATCATTGAACTCATTGAAATCCTGCACACTCTCTGCCCTCCACAGCAGAAGCAATCTTCTGATTTAAATAAAAAAATGTTGTTTGTTCTCTAGTTATTGTTATGCTGTTTCATTGTTCACACATCATGACCCGTGCAGTCGCTGGCGTCATTGTCAGGCAACTCTCACACACTCCAGTAAAGCGTGAGTGAACATCTGCTGCATGCTGCAAGTCAAAACACAAGTGGCAGGAAAATGAGTTTTAGAGTGGAGGCGTGATGGCTTGTCATTGGGAGAGATCATCAACCACCAACATATGTGCTGGTTTATGTTGAGTTTTCAATGCCTGTCGAGTGTGTGTTGAGATGGGGAGGACAGCCTGGGAGACATGTTGGCAGTCAGACTCGCAGCCTGTGGGTTGAATCAGTGAGGGATCTGTGTGAACAGTCAAATATGGAGGAGCAATTATGACAGAGCAACGGTCATTGTCTCTCCAAAGCAAATGGAGTCAAACTGGAATAGCCTGGAACCACACACATGCAATCATGTCAAGCACATCAATCATGGAGAAGTGTATGTGGGATCAATACATGGATTATTATCATATCTCGTACTATTCAGTGCAGCTTTACACCCACAATGGCCACGAACAGTAACTCCTTCCAGTTATAGAACAAGGAAGAGGTCTTTAAAAAAACATATAAAAGTATACAATACATGAAATGCATGTATGTATGTTTGAATGTGTGTATGTATGTTTTACAAATGACTATTTATGCCTCTAAAGCTGTTATAGGCAGCAAACGGCTAACACAGTTAGAGCATGCAGCACATCGCACAATCTGACCTACACACATAAACATTACATTTGCTTGAAATACGCCAAACCATAATAAGTGCGGGTGCATTGGTTTTAAACGGGCTAAATCCTTAAGGTGGTTTATTTTTATTTGACCCAAACATTTTTAAACAGGAAAAACTTTTTAAAGAAAATATACAGATGTCGGGTTTAATATTTGTATTTTATCCCTCTACTGTGACATGTCTCCATGCATCCTGGTTTCTTCTACCTTCATTTCCATTGAAAACTTGAGAGCTTCACTGTGCTGCATTTCTCTGACGTCTCAGCTGTCAGAAAGGCCAATTATATATGAAGTGTGAAACGATACACTGCAGATTAGTTTCACCTCTATTATTGGAACACTTTTGCAAGTAAGGGCCAAAGTTGTGAAATAGTAACGCAGCAGGTACATTCACTAATTTGCCGTGGGGACATTCTCTCCCCCTCTCCACAGGTGAATCTTGGCAGCCATCAGTACCTGTTCACAGTGGACGTGAACCCCTCTGAGATGCCTTGCCTCTGCCTCAGGCACGATGTGGACGCTCTGCTGTGGCAGCCTCGACCCCAACAGCCCGGCAACATGTGGGAGCACATCGCCACGTTCAATGCCTTAGGTAAGATCAGAAACCAAAAACACGCATTCTGATGGTTCTATTTAGGGGTCCATATGTTGTATTTGCAATAGTATTTTCTAAAAACCTGTATGTATGTTAAATATCACAATCAATATAACAGCGCTGCTAGGATCCTGATGAGGGTGCGCAAATATGACCACATCACCCCCATCCTCAAAGCACTACACTGGCTACCCGTAGAACTGAGGATAGAATTCAAGGTCTCCGTCCTCACCCACCAGTGTGTCCATGGAACTGCCCCTCCCTACCTCAAGGAACTCCTCACCACCCATACCTCCTTGCGGACCACCCGCTCCAGCAACTCCTACCTGCTCAAACCCCCCAGGACTAAGCTCCGTACCATGGGAGACCGGGCCTTCTGCTCGGCTGCCCCCAGTCTGTGGAACGCTCTCCCCGACCACATGAGAGCACCACAGAGCGTGGAGGCTTTTAAAAAAGGCCTCAAAACCCATCTTTTCAAAAGAGCCTTTGCCTAGACCCCTTTTACCATCCTTTTATCTTTATTTTTATTTATTTATTTTTTATTGCTTTTTATTAATTCTACCGTGTTGTGTCATGTCTATTTATACTGTTCCTGCTCACTGCCTGTAGCACTTCGGGATTTGAATTCGAATATGAAGTGCTTTATAAATGGAACCCATTATTATATGTTAGGTTTTTAGGCGTAATGTGTGATTCACAAAGTCGAAAAATTTGGGGATATTACAGGTCAGAACATTTTTACTGCTAGTATACTGTAGGTTTAGATGTCAAAGCGCTGTGAGTGAGCTGCGAGCCATTTATGTTTAACCTGTTGAACCCCATCCCCCCGCCACCGGGGGGAAAAACGCATCATCTGCAGGAAACAGCGTCTGAGGGCTTCTTAATATTTAATAAACTATGAATGTTTCATATCCATGTAACGGGAAGAAACTCAGCTAACTGATCTTTTTTTTTTTTTTTTGCAAAAGAAAGCTAACGCTGAGCCTCTGAATTAGCCACGAGCGAAAGAATGCTGACGCCGTTTGCACAGAAAACACGTTATAACACCCTTATTACTTATCGTAACTGCACATCCAACATATCGATTAGCATCGTGAGAATACACAGAATCGATAGGTATCTGTATCATCACTCCATGATAAGAACTCGCAACATTATAAACAAAAACAGACATCACAACACGTGGCGCTAGGTAGCCAAAACGGCAATACCTTTGTCGTTGTCTGATCAAAAGTTGTCTTCAATGGCATTAAAACGATAAAAACGCTGCTGAAGGTTAATCCATAGGTTAATCCAATCCAAGTCTGTGTCACAAATGATTTCTGATAATCCATCAGCAATAAACCTACTTTTAAGTTTTCAGATTTCAGAGCGTGAGACAGGTTTCGATTTGGGCCAACTGCGTGCGCATAGCCCCCACTTCTCAATGGTAACGTTGGTGTGTATGTGGGAATTCCCCCTCGATTCTATTGGCTCTAACGGTTCAAAAGAGATGTCAATCATCAAAATCGACCAATGGGTTCCAGAGAAACGGCAAAAACGCCCATTTCCACCCAAATGACCCCAGAGGTGGATTTTTTTTTGCTAAAGGTCAAATGTCACTTGTTTTGCATCAATCTTAATACAGGGTACTTATTATATGTTGTACTTTGGATTCCTAAAGCTTTTAGTCTACTAACCCATCATCCAAGGGTGGTTTTCACTATAAGAAAAAAAGAATTTTTGGACGGACACTATAATTTACAGTTTTTTACTATGTTCAATCTGAATTTTCTTTAAAATAAAAAACATCTATATTGATTCTGACTTTTCTACATCCAACTCACAGGTTTATCATTACTTTGAGAAAAAAGATTATTAATTTAACCCTTTTAGAAGGGAAGATATGGTAATTTGTTCTGGGAATGTCATTTTCGAGCCTGAGACCTGAAAAACAGGGATGGGGTTTAACAGGTTAATGCTGACATTTTTTAATCCTTTTTAATCCTTTTTATTTATTTAACAGATGCACTTCGCTCAGAATGTAAACTCATGTTTTTTAATAAAGTATAAGAAAACCACACCAAAGAAACAAAAAACTAAAATGTGATAAGAAAATACAAATGAATACATAATGCAAATGAAAAATGAATACCGACATTAATAGTAACCTACTTTTATAACATGCTTAATGCATTTCTCACTTCATTTAATATTTGCTAAAATACATTTTTAATGCTACAGTGTTTATATCTGTATTTGCATCCATTTGATGCCATCTTCTAGAGTCTGACTTATATTCCACCAATAAAATGTATTTTAAATATTTGGTGAAACGGTCAAAAGCTATAGTTCACACTAGGAACACATTTAAATAAGCTGTTATGGCTGAACACATTACTCTGCAGTGCCCCTAGTGGTCAAATGGTCCACAAGGTCCCTTTAAGACGTGAGTTAGTCAATGTGTGTAGATGAAGATGTAAGAAGCATTTTCAGTGAAGGCCTTCATTAATTGACTTTTTGATGAATCATGACACTTTGAATGACCCATCTATTTAGCTTTTATCACTGCTTGTAGCCTAAAGGGGACGAATGAATTGAAACAGAATCTATGACAGATCCGCTGTGCATATAAACCCTTTCAAAAGGTAAAGATGATAAACTGACTGTTGAGTTGAGACTGCTGTTTTAATTCAACTCCAGATCTCAAATCAAAATCTCAGCCAGTCTTCTCATTTCTGGAGCCGTGTCGCTTTCACTCTGTCACCATTCAATGTATCCGCTCATTCATCTCTGCTCAACGACAGCTTTTGGAACAAGTCATATTTCAATGTTCCACTTTGACAGGTATGACTTTATTTGTTTTCTTAACACTCAATATTTCCCAATCCGTCCATCTCAGTTTGGAATAAATCATTCAGTGTGACAGGTCATTTGAAAATAATGATGTATTTCAGTGAGTCCAAAACATTTTTGGAGACAAATTATTTGTTTTAAATCAAACTTATAATAATAATACATTTATTTATGAAAAAAAAACACAAGTTATTTACTGTTGAAGTAAATTGACTGTCTATATTAAGAATTTCAGAGTTTAAAAAAATGAGAGAGTGGGAGTTACACAACGCAACGATTGGCTTGGTATTGATTCTGCAGGTTGAAGCTCTAGGCAACATTGTTTCTTAAAACTAATGTTATTAGAGTCAATGACAATGTTGAGCAGCAGTAGACAGTTATTGAAACACCCTGGTGTCAGATGGGGATTCTAGGAAAACAGGAAGTAGCTAATCTGATAAGAGTGAAAGATAATTTGTTTTTCAGCAGAGATGGGGAGCACCGTCTAAAAACAGCTCAGTTCATCGGGTTCATCAATCTCCACATCTTTTGTCCTCTCTTGTTTTTGTGGTATGAAATAAGACCTTCTGTTTAACAAAACATGAACTTGCTGTGTGTAAGCCTACAAACTGGAAGCTATGTCACTGTTGAAGGTTTGAATGGGATTTGTAGGGCCTTATTAGCCGCGTTCACACCGGAGTACTTTTCACCGTACTTTTCGCGTTTAGTTCCGTTAGTACCCCTTATGTCGCGTTCACACCAAAAAGAGCACTTAATCTCGGGAACTTTTACCCCCATTTTTAGTGCCTGCTGAGAGATCGTACTTTCCTGGGGGAAAAAAGTGCCCCAGTTCTGGTTGGCTGGGCGAATTGCAAACCACGCCTCGTACAACTCTGAAATGTTTTGTAGAGCCGCCATTGTATTATCCTTGCATTAGCATTATTAGCATTAGCATTCGCCCAGCGCACAAACGCAGAGAGACTAACTTATGGCAACACAAAACAAAACATGGGAGTGGTGGAGATGAGGAGGTGTCGGCGTTCTGGCGATTTACTCGGAAGGCTTCAGTAGAAGCTGCTGGGAGTCCCAGCAGCTTCTACTGAAGCCAGTCTCCAACTCCGGGGACTTCCGGCCGGGGACTCCGGGTGGCAGTATACGCCGTGAAGTTGTTTGCTGCCTGCCAGTAAACCCAAAGCAGAAGAAGACGAAGTGACGTCAGCGGCTCATTTGCGTAATCTTCCCTCAGGGAAAAGTACTCCGGTGTGAACGCGATCTGTACTAAATGCCCTGGGGTCATAAGTGCCGGGGCTCTGAGTGCCGGCACTAAATACGGCAAAGTACTTGGTGTGAACGCGGCTATTGTTTGTTTACCTAGAGCCCAAGGTAACGTCTTCTTCAAATGACTAGCTTTTTCCTTTCAGTCAAAACCCTAAGGTATTTAATTCTTAGGTGTTTAAATGTCACCACTCAGCCTTACGTAATATATATTTTTCAGCAATATTTTTTGACAATTCTGGGGAATAATTATAGTTGAGGACTTCACAATTGTTGTAAGCTCTGAGTGAGACAGTTCAATCTAAACTAAAAGTCAATTTGTGTTTGAGGGATGATTTATATGTTGTAACAATGCTCTTTGGCAATACATCTTATACTGTTGGAAAGTCTGTTTTCTGACCTTTCCAATGGTACCACATTTGTAAGGAACAAGCATTTGTGGGATGAGCAGCAGAGCTGAGTATGTGGGGTGCACCCATGAAAAATGTGACAAATCTCCTCTGCCAATGCCTACTTGATTATGGCCTTGGGAGAAATAAATTCGATTTGACTAAGTGACAGTACACAAATGCAGGATCAACGTTATGCTTTAAATGCATTTTTCTATCTTCCTGTTTAGTTTTTTCTTCAGGGCCGGCAAGTACGGTAGATTTGTTTCTCCATATGATTAATCGAGTATATTACACGAATACTCAATCATTGAAAAACATATGCATAGCTCTCCCTGCTCATGTCACTGCATAATTACTCTGAGTCCTAAACCCGGAATAGCTTAGCATTGATCACTTTCAGGTGCCCTCGCCCTTAAGTCAATGTTTTATTTGAATGAGATTTTGGTTAGATGCCTGAAATAAGGTGGGTGGTTTTGTACAATCTACGATGTACCATCATGTTGCAATAGCTAACAATGAATTAGCTATAATTATGAGTCAATAGCTAACACACGCCTTTAGTTTCGTGGTGGTACAACCGTGATGTTGTTTGTTTCTAGCAATAGGTAAGCTATTAACATCTGACGATTGCATTTACGCTTGAACTTGAAAAAATGGTTTTAATATGTTGATATTGTCCTACTGAACAAAACGCGTAAGTATAATGAACGTGTGTATTATATATATAATCGTTCATCCAATGTATTTTGTTTTAAAGAAGACCTTGTGTTGCTAACTTCCCGGTCAGCCTAACAAAAAAGACATCATCCCTGCACCACTCCAATGTGAAGGTGTCTCCTTTCACAGATCTGCTTATCTGTCACTATTGTGTTTCCACAGGCTACGTCCAGGCCTCCAAACGGGATAAAAAGTTTGCCACCTGCCCTCCTAACTTCTCCTACGCTTCACTGTGCGAGTGTCTCCGCCGAGCATTCATCTACAGACAGCCGTCGCCGGTGGAAACCGTCCTCTTTAACAGGAAGCAGGGCCGGCAAGTAGGACAGGTTGCCAAGCAACAGGTGGCCAGCCTGGACTCCGATAAGCCAATCCTGGGCTTCAGAGCAACCAATGAGAGACTGTACATCCTGACCTCCAGTAACCTGTTTATACTAAAGGTCAATAATAATTAGATTTGGGACTCTTAGTTTTAGATCTTCATCTCACCTCCCCCTCGGAGCGTGATCATTCCAAACTTAAGATGTTTTATCTGAATGTGTTAATGTGTACTCTCTGTTCTCAATGTTGGTTTACTCATGTTTCAACTCCCACTAGTCTTCTGTGCTGCGAAATGTCTATAAGATCAAGGAGCCATGTCAAATTATGATAAATGTTTACTAGAGCTGATTGTTTCCAGGATAATCATTAAAGGTCCCCTATTATACTGTTTTTCATCAATATATTGCAGGTCTCAGATATATACAAAACATGTCTCTGAAGTGTTTGGCTCCAAATACCACACAGATCATGAATTGCAGCATGCCATAAACCCCTCTGTTTCAGCCCTGTTTCAAAAGTTCTGATTCTGTGTCTGTTACTTTAGATGAAAATAAGGAGCCACTCCCCACGCCCCTCTGAGAGATATTTGGTTAAAAAGAACACAATGGTGCTCTAGGAGGAGATTCAGGTGATAAGGGGGGGGGGGGGTTACCTTGGTTGGTTATTGGCTAATGGTTACACAAGCCAAAAAAACGTTATAACATCACAAAGTGGCCAAAATCTGATCAGCTCATTTTCAGACAGGTTTTTATAGAAATGGATCAGGACAAAAAGAGAGTGAATCTTTTTTCCTGACACTTTCAGAATCTCTTAACGCAGAGGGGACACATGTTGATGTATAAAAGACATGAAAAAGTGGATTTTGCATAATAGGTGACCTTTAAGTTAAAGGGGACCTATCATGCAAAATGCACTTTTGTACGTCTTTTATACATGAATATGTGTCCCCGGTGTTCCAGGGAACTCACCAAGTGTCAGAAAACACAACCCTCTCTATTTTCCTCCATACCCAAATCTCTAAAAAAGGGGCTGCAACGGATCTGATAAAAACTGATCCAGATTTGAACACTGTCCTGACGTCAGGACGGTGGCGCTACGGCTATTGGGCCAACTCCACCAATTAGGAGGAGACAGCCACGGCCATTGCCGTTCGAAAGCGCTGGAGACGCTGTAGTACATATGCCAGGCCTGTAGATGGTGCTGTTCTCACTGAATCTGCCCTTGCAAAAACAGAGCTAAAAAATGTCAAATTGAGCAAAATGAGGCATGGCTAAAATGCATGATCTGTCATACACGTGATAACTTTTAATGCTCTCTGCATTATCACATACATCTGTAATGCCATGAATTCCGGTTCATATAAATGTGTGCATCAGTCTTAATGACAGTTTTTCTGAAGGCTTGCAGTGTTGCACCAAGGGATGGTCGTAGTCATGTGTCAGATGGTCCGTGGGGAGGTGGACACTGAGGAAATCCCTCTGCTTGGCTCATTTGACTGCCTTTACTGTGGAAGAATGAAAGAAGCCAAAATTGATTTCCACACATTTCCATAAACATTTCACACATCTCACAGGCTCCTGTTGCGTTCGCCTCAATCTTGGACGGAGCATATCTGAAGCCTAACATCTCAGGAGGTCTAAAAATGCAATCATGGCTTTTTAGGAGTTGAAGGTTGAAATGGAAATCATACATGCTTGGAGTATGTTTATAAATGCATCTGATGCATTGCTCCTCTGGGATATTAAACTAGAATACATGTGGCCTTTAGAAACCAGAAACGGTTCATACAGAAAAGTTCAGGTTTTCAACTTGTGTACATTTCCTCAGCATCATTGGCTACATGTTCACATCTTAAAGATCCATCTAGTAAACAAAAATGCCTGTCTTGAGCCAACTCATCCAAATCGCCAAAATAGATACAAAAAGATGCAAGAGAGACAATAATGGACTTTATGTTAAAAGTGAAAGATGGTCCATTTCCTATTCTCTTTAAAAGCAAAACAAGAAAAGGTTAGAGGGACACAATCAGGGGAGATACAGGGATGAAGGTCTTCTTAGGATTATACCTGAAAAAGGCTTCAACACAACAAAGCCTTCGAGTCCTCTGAGAAATGGATCCATATCAGTGACTTTTCATGGTAGGCTGGAGGCAATAATGAACCGAATTCAGACAGCTTTTTAAAAAGTTTGGATCTTCAGAAATGATAGGACAACTGCTCTAACAAATGCATTGATCAGGTTTGCCTGTTGTGTGAACTGAACCAACAAAGGAATATTGTCGAAAGCAGTTCAGCTTCACCATTCAATAGTCTTCATCAGGACGGGCAATTTTCTGAAGACTATGTGCAATTTGTGTCCTCAGTTCCCCCGAGTGCTGCCAGTTTACAAGGCGGTTTTGTTTTTATTTTTAAAGGCTGTGGATAATCACCCTTTTCTCTCTTCTCCGTCAATGTTGTTCTCAAGAAAATCGGCTTTTGCTCTGTTTTTATTTAATTACTGCTTTGCAATTGAGTTAGACTGCACCGCTTGTTTTCATTAGCTGTACAGAGCATCCCTAGATTACTTGAAGGCGGCCTGTCAGAACCGCTAAATGTCTCCGCGGATGGCCTCTGTCTTTACTCAAAAATCGTTTTATCAAGCTGTGGGACCACAGAGAATTGAGTAATGGAAGCTAGTTACGCTCGCTCCTGTGTTTCCCTAACCCTTCACCTCGTTGCCATCACAACATCCCTTCACAAAGTGGGCTCTTTGAGGACTTTATTAAACAAGTGTTTTTAAAGATTGACAGCCGTTCTTTTCTTTCCCTCAATGTAATCAGCCCCTGAGTGAGTTTCATTGGCTTCAGGGTCAGGGAAAGTTGATCCGGATCGTGATTGAAATTGTGTTTCCTGAGACAGCAACGACTCAGGGACCTTTTTCTATTTCACCACCAGTGTTTGTATTCTCAGGCATGCCATGTCTTACTGTACATGTACAAAAATAATTATGCATGAATCATAAATCATATAATAGGGATTAAGCTGACTCAGGCAACAAAGTGAGTCACATGGCATTCAATACAATAGAAATGTTGCTTTAATGAAGTTGATTATCATTCATTAATTTTATTTTATACATTTACTAATCATAATTAGAGCTCGTTTGATTGAGATGAATGCCTATTTGTTGCTTGTTTTAAAGCAGAAACAAAACTTTCCCCCCTTAATGTTTCATACTAATATCGCTGTCGGATTTCTTTCTGATTTCCTTAGAGCTAAAGGAATCTCTTAATTTGTTTCCAAAAATGTACTGTGATCATGTACACTCCTGAACAAAATCTTAAAAAACTCAAAACATTCGCATTTCGCCCTGGTGGATGGTAACCAGGTTGTTAGTAGAGCTTCAAAATGCAAAAAGAAGAAACCGGAGCAAAAATAGAGTAGGAAATGTATTGAAAACTGCATTTAAACTCAAACAGGCTGTTCATCAGAAGTTTAAGACCTTAAAAAGTAAAAGCCAAAAGTCATGACCTCCTGATGGCAAAGGCAAAAAGGCTTTCTGTCTTTGAACGTTGCAGGATTGTTGAACTGCAGAAGAAAGGCCTCTCGAAACGTGCCATCGCTGCGAGGTTGGACCCACTAACACGGTCATTTAAAATGTCTTAAAAGATCCTGAGCGTTAAGCAAAAAAAATGCACCTGCGCTACGGGCTGTCTGTAAAGACACAGGCCAATCCTCGACTCAAATTAAGGCCGTTACAAATGCTGACTGCAGCCCAATAACCATAAAACGGTATCTGCGAGAGAAGGGCTTAAAGAACAAAACATTTCTTCGAGAAAAAAAACGTGCCCGTCTGGACTTTGCAAGGGACATACATGGGACATTGAGTCATGATATAACCTGGATGGTCCTGATGGCTTCCAACGTTACTGGCATGACAAGGAGATCCCACTGGAGCTGTTTTCTACGCGGTACAGTGGAGGAGGCTCCATCATGATCTGGGGTTCTTTTCCTTCAATGGCACAATGGAGCTTCAGGTTGTGCATGGGCGTCAAACGGCAGCTGGCTGTGTGGAGATGTTGCAGCGGGCGTCCCTCTTGCCTGAGGGCCTCGTCTGTGCGGTGATGAATGGGTCTTTCAACAGGACAACGCTGCAGTCGCACTTTTGGACCATCCTGCGTGTTCCCCTGATCTAAATCACATTGAGAATGTTTGGGGATTGATGGCAAGGAAAGTTTACAAAAACGGACGTCAGTTCCTGTCCGTGGATGCCCTTCTTGAAGCCATCCTCACCACATGGAGCAACGTTCCAAACAGCCTCATGGAAACACTTGCATCAAGCATGCCTAAACGATTTTTTAATGTTATCAACAAAAACCGTGGGGCTACTCACTACTGAGTTCAGTTTTGACACTTTAAGTTCTGTTTTTTTGGCTATGGTCTTAAACTTTTGATAGACTGATGAACAGCCTGTTTGAGTTTAAATGCGGTTTTCAATAAATTGCCTACCCTCTATTTTGCTCTCTTGCTCCTGTTTCTTCTTTTGGCATTTTGAAGCTCTAATTACAACCTAGTTACAATCCACCGTTGCAAAATGGGAATTCTTGTAATTTTTCCCTACAGTAGGTCTTAAGATTTTGTTCAGGAGTGAATATTCCGGCTAACACTAAGCCTGGCTAACGTATGATCCAAACCAAGTACCAACCCGGAACTTGTATCTAGGTACAATTTTAAAGGCAGAGTAAACACAGTTAATAAGATGAAAGGTTTTTTTACTTACCGATGTATGTAGCATTTCCTCTCCCTCTCTCTTTTCCTCCTTGTGTCCGCTGTCAGAGGGGCTATTTTGGCGGCAACTGTTAACATTTACTCAAGTTGTTCCGATTTGTAGGGCTTTAATTGTGAAAGGGAGATAGCAACCTGGAGGCAGATCGAACTGCATTATGAAGCAAGGCTTATAGGTAACCAATCCTAACACTGATGGTGCCATTCAGTGTGAAATCAATATTTACTTCATTATGAACATTATTATCTATGGCCACTTTGAATCAGATTGCAGAGGGTAAAGTAAATACATGAAATATGTTGATATGGATTATTATTGTTAAAGTAACCATGGGTCTTCAATTTATTGTGAATAATCTTTTATTAGGTTTCTTTTATTTAAGTTACTATCTTTATCAAAAGTACCAGTATGTACTCATCTGTAGTGTTCTTGAAAAAACAATCAGTTTGTAATGAGCATGCTCCTCATGATGAGACTGCCCTGCAGCTATAATTGGCACCTTTTATAAATGATTAAACAATTAAAGTAAACAAACCCACACTTTTCTCCAGTAGGACAATCATAAAGGTAATTCATTTTTGAGTTGATTGCACATTCTTTGTTAATGAATAGAGATCCTCCCCGATGGGATCAGC